GCCCAGGGTGGTTGGGGCACGGCTTGGTTTTATACATTTAGGGAGACGTGAGACATCAGTCCATACAGGTAAGAGCCATACATTGGTTCCATCCAGAAGCAGGGACAACTAGAAGCAGGGAGGGGAATTCCTAGTCACAGGTAGGTGAGAGACAGATAAATGGTTGCATTCTTTTGAGCTTCTAATAAGCCTTTCCAAAGGAGGCAATCAGAATCTGCATCCATCTCAGTGAGCAGAGGGATGGCTTTAAATAGAATAGGAAGCAGGTTTGCCCTAAGCAATTTCCAACTGGACTTTTCCCTTTCACTTAGTAATTTTGGGGGCCCCAAGATTTTCCTTTTCACAGAAGCAGGTCACTCAGTGCTGCCCACACTCAAGGACATGCCCCCTCTCAAAACAGCTATCATGCTGTTCTCTGCTGGTTTTTCTTCACTTCCCTTGGAGAGTTCCTTAGGCTGCATCAAGTGTTTAGCTGCAAACACTTTCAAAGTCTGCACCATCCTGCAGCATGTGGATGGTGCCATAGTTCACAGTCCTGCTGTTTGGGATCTAGACTAGGAAGAAGGAGAAGACGTCACCTCGGCACAGAAGCGCTGAGGGTGGACGGTGTGCGTCATTTTTTTTCTTTTTTGGTCGCTAGAATTAGCCTAAATCCATTGGCTTACATATTTATATTGGGCTTCATAGGTTACATGGAAACCCTTCACGGTGTCCCACATGGAATCCAAGAGCAGAAGGAGAGGCTTGGCCTTATGGAGTGGGAGATAGGATTGGGGAGGAGTTAGCCTCCTCTTTTCTAAGATGGAATTTCACTCTTGTTGCATAGGCTGGAGTGCAATGGCATGATCTTGGCTCACTGCAACCTCTGCCTCCTGGATTCAAGTGATTCTCCTGCCTCCGCCTCCAGAGAAGCTGTGATTACAGGCACACACCAAGACACCCAGCTAATTTTTTGTATTTTTAGTAGAGACGAAGTTTCACCATGTTGGTCAGGCTGGTCTCGAACTCCCGACCTCAGGTGATCCACCCGACTCGGCCTCCCAAAATGCTTGAATTACAGGAATGAGCCACCGCACCCAGCCCAGTATGTGTCTTTGTGAGGAACCTGTAGTGTAGACCTGGGCAGATGACGCTGTCAGCTGTGCATGGCGGGAGGTGAGTCTAGAGTGATGGTCTTAAGAGAGAATGGCTCCCTCACAGCTCTGTCCTGTCCCAGCAGGGGCTGAGAGGAAGGCAGAGTCCTTGGGCTTCTTTGTGCCACGGATGATCCCTTTGATAAGTTGGAGAAGGCTTCAGACCCCTTCTCCGAGGAGCTTTAAATGCGTAAAATAAAATACATAAGACTACAAAAGAAACCACTTGTAGCGAAGTATAATTATCCAAATGTGACTATTGTGTGACCTAGTCACACATGCTTCTTCAGCAATAATGTTGAGGCAGATCTCAACATCAACATCGCTGCAATTTCAAAGTCCTGTACTTGGAGCTATCTGCTGCAATTGAAGTAAGAGGATTATCTGTGATTACAACTGCTGATACTATTGGGGATTGTTGCCTACATTTAGATAGAAGGAAATGCTAAGTTGCCATTAGTGGTTAGGAAAAACAAAGATGCATTTTTTTTTTTTCCCATCTGAGAATAGGGCCGTCTGAATTCTATACACAGATCCTTGGAGGGCCCAGGGACCCAGGTTAAGGAGCCCTGTTCAAGGTCAGGGGAGGGAGGAGCATGTTGGCTCATGAGAAGTGCCTTTCCTACTGTGTCCTGTGTATCCGGAGCAAGATAAAGTGGGTGGTGGAGGAACTGGCGAGGAGGCGTCACGGCACAGGGGCTGTGCCAGCTTTGGGGAGTCAGTGTGACATAGAGACCTACTGTGGTCTGGCTTCCTCAAGGAAGGAATGGTGGCAGGTGTTTACATGTATCAGTGCTATTTAGAAATGTACACCCAAAGGCTGTTTGGCCAGCTGGGGATCTGATTCTGGTCTCCTAGCTGCTTGTTTTGGTTTCAAATCTCCCGACTCGGGTTTCAGCAGCACCTGGGAGGCCAAGTGTACACTGAGATTAGCATGTCCAGGTTCCACCCTGGCCCTTTTCAGCAAAGTTTCCCTTAGAGGGTCATTGGATTGGTCCCTAGAATTAGCCTAAATCCATTGGCTTACGTATTTATATCAGGTTTCTTAGACTACATGGAAACCCTTCACGGTATCCCACATGGAATCCAAGAGCAGAAGGTGAGGCTTGGCCTTATGGAGTGGGAGATGGGATTGGGGGGGAGTTAGCCTCCTCTTTTCTAAGATCGGATCTTTCTGTAACTGTGAAGCATACAATGGTGGCCCTAACCCACAGGCTACCTGACCTTTTGGCTCTTGAACCCAAAACTAATCAGGTTTTTGTGTCTCTTAAGGGGAAGAATCTCATTGGTCCAGCTCTACTCAGGTGTCCACTCTCTGTCTAATCAACTGTGACTGGGCTCTCGTTGCTCCTGCCCCCTTTCCCCGCATACATGCAGCAGGTGTCTGAGTAATTGATGCAGTTGTGCTGGTGAGTTGGGCAAATCTGTTGCATGAATAAACCCATTCACAGCCAAGCTCACTGTGGCAGAACATGCCCTTTCTCGTCACTACTTTGAGAAGTGCCTGCTGAATGCCCAGCCCTCCCCAGGACGCAGGTACCACCTTGCAGAGAGGAGACATTTAGCGTTTGTAACACACATCACTGTGGATGTAAGGATTTTTTTTCTTTCTTTCTTTTTTTTTTTTTTTTTTT